CCCATAGGGAAGGATGAAAGAAAATGGGGGTCCCCAGGGAAGGATGAAAGAAAATGACAAGGGAGGAGAGGGTGGGTCTTTACAAAGTTGACGTCGATCATGATGCTCTAAAAAGTTAGGAAACAAAAGAAAAGACAAGAAAAGGAGAAACAAATATCATAGACCTCATTTTCTTCCTAAAAGTAACAACACAGTTAAATTGGACCATATCATATTATTTTTGCCTAATAAAATGAACTAAAATTCATCCTGTACAGGTTCTATCTGAAAATATAGATTATATTTTGGTTAACGTCAACTGAGGGGGGGGGGGTGTCCCCTGGGAAGGATGACAGAAGATGACAAGGGAGGAGAGGGTGCATTTTCGGCCAAATTTTAGCTGACTTCATAATTTTTTAACGGTCCCTAAAGTACATCATGTGTACTACTACACATCACTGCACATCTAACTCATAACAAGGTACATATGTACTGCATTGTCATGGAGATTTTTACCTTCCATCAAGCGAGAGGGAACTTGCTCTGTGTTTGTCTGGGGTTCATTTTTTTCGGGGGAGGGGGGCGGTGGAGGGAGAGAGACACACTTAATAGTATACCTGGTGACAATAAAATGGTATCTGATTTCTGTTAGTTATTTTCGTGGTAGAGAATGACATTAATGACAAGATGTACATTTCTGGCTTATACAATTCATTGTAATACATGTAGTTCTTGGAAACTAAAAGACACCCCCACCCCTATCCCACCCAGTCTCCCAACAAAATTGCCTCGTGTCACATTTTGGACTTAACATTTACAGAAAACAAAGATCAGATCTATCTGTAACTGTAACAGGAGAGGTCAAAGACACCCGATTGATTTTTCAAACGCCTCCATAGTGGCAGATCTAAGGATATCGTACACGTACGCCCCTATCTTATCAATTAAATTTCAATCCACCACTCCATTTAACATCCCTCCCCCACACCCACAAATCACCATTTGCCCCCGGTTCCGAATCCTTAACACACACACACACACACACACACACACACACACACACACACACACACACACACACAC